ATTTGAAATGTATTATTATTATTATTATGTGTACATTATTTGTTAGTGTCTTTGTGTGTGTGTATATATATATATATATATATATATATATACATACACACACATATAGATATGTACATTATATATAGTAAAATTATTATTATTATTATTATTATTATTATTATTATTATTATTATTATTATGTGTATGTGTATGTGCATGTGCATGTATTGTGGTCTGTTCTTCAGTAAATAAGTAGACTTTCGGCGGGCACGCCTATGTCAGCTTGGACTTTCTCCTGCCAGCAAATCGTTAATGAAGCGGGTTGTAAATGTCGTACATAACCGCGTGTTTTGAGCCATAAATATGTGCCGTGAAGCTTTCCGTTTTCTTCAGTGTGAATCACCTGTAGGCCCATTTATTTATTTTTTCTCAGTGGATTGGCTTTATTTAAATTTCACGAATGCCCTAGAAAAGATGAATTACTGTAGTACCTATCTTAATGAGTCAATACATTTCATTACTTTATGTAGATTTGTTACAAACTGTGCAGTTTATAGTTTACTGTTTACGAATGTTTGTGCAGGTAAATATTTATACCAGCCAATTTAGGTCCAGTCCTTCCGTTAGGGACACAACTGGGCCAAACTAATTAGCATCCATTAATAGGCCAGGTAAATGATCAATTTTGAAAATCTGTCGGAAGACGGATTAAATCCCTAAACACGCACCCTCGGAAGCTGTGTGCTAGTAGAGGCTATATAAATAAATTGAAAGGAAATTATCTTAAAGATTATTATTTGAAAGATTTTGAGGTGCATCTAATATAATTAAGATACATCTTTTGGCGATTGAGTTAAAATATTATTTTAAAAAAAACGATTTTTGAAAGGAGTTTCGGTATTTGCACATTTTTAGGTTTATTGACGTGTCCGGATATTTAAAAACTAAATTAAATGACCTCATTGTTTGTTTCAGTTTTTTTCTCAGTAGATTCGCCCCAGTCTGAGTAAACATATTTCGTGAAATCGGTAAGTGTTAACTAAAATTTAAGTACGATGTTATTTCAGTGTTATCCGGTGTGGGTTCGTGTGCTTTGATTTCAGTTTTGTCAATCAACGCGTAATCTAATATTTGTGACCACTGATTTTTCCCTGACAATTTCTCATAATTGAATTGACCGATGAACCTTAAGGCAGCACACTCACTGGGAAATGAATACGATGTGTAAAATAAAGAGTGAAAATCGTGTTAACGGATTTTAGTTGGCTGATCTATTTAAGATGTGACTGCAGACCGTGGGAACCGTTGCGGTTTTGTGGGTATTTTTAGATTATTGTTAGGACGTCCAAATCCAGGAAAATACCAGGATGCGTTTAACTTCGTGTCGAACAATACAGTGGTGAGGAACTTATAGGTCATACTGCTGTATGGATATAGTTTCTTCTGTATTTATTTTTTTAAAAATCTATCTATTTTTACTTTGTTTATTTATTGTATTCGAGCAAGGTCGGCTTGGCTACTGATCCACATATTTACAAATAAACCACACAGTTTGTGAAGTAACATCGTCCTGTTTAGGAAAATTGCACAACCATCAAAGAATTGTACATTAACACAATTAACCTTGTTTCATTATGTTACAGGCCGAGTTTAATGCTTCTGGGTGCCCCGGGATTGTGTGCCTCACCTCAGGCTTTGCATCGCAAACAGATCGCTTAATCGGTCCGTGTAACACTAAATACAGAAAGATACGGGGGATCCCGGGCAGTGACGAGATGCCTCGGGGTTTCCCCCTGAGACAGCGAGGTTAGGGAAGGGCGGTACAGGGGCCGCGCACCTTGGGGAGACTGCAGCCGGGTGCGGCTTTTCCTGCGGACGCCGCCCTGTCGGCGGCGGGATCATTGTCCTTCAGTTCGTCCGGCCCTTTTGTCAGTCCTCTTTCTTTGAATGGAGACCATCCCTTTTCCTCCAGCTTTGGCTCCTGGTTTGTGCTGAATCTTATACCTTTGGATTGTTTCTCAATTATTTAATTTAATGCGTATCCTGCGAGGTTTTTATGACGTCCGCCAGCTTAATGGGACTGACGCGTTTATTCAGCTTTTATCCTGTATTCTAAAAAGTTTGAGGTGTGTGTGTGTGTGTGTGTGTGTGTGTGTGTTTGATAGGGAAATGTGTCGAAAATTGCGCAGTATTGTGTGTAGGCGATTTAAGTTTATAATTTTTTGAAGAGTAGCAGGTGCTAAACGGGGCTTTGCGTTCATTTAATGGTTTTAAATTTGTATAACGTTCCTGGCGACCAGCTATAAACGGCAACCAGGCACGTGGCTTCCTGGTGCATCTGGTATCTGCATGAATAAATCGCTGTGATTTATAGTGGATGACTGATCTCACCGTGTTATCTTGAGTGGAATGGTTTGCACATCGTTTAAACATACAGTAGGCCTGTATATTTCTGCTAGCTACTGAAGCATGCTTTTTCCCTCCCCAGAACGTTGGAAAGGCCCTGAGGTTCAGCTGGAAATGCCTGGTTTCTGGTCTGCAAGGATTCACAGTGGGATACTGCCTGTCGCTGTCCGCGGCAGCTGTGCTTATCCCAGATGTACATAGAGCGTGGCCCCCCAGCTGAGTCCATGCACCATTTTCTCAATGATTGATGTTTACTTGGCGCACTACCCTGCTGATCTTCAGCAAGCATCCACAATCTTTTTAGAACACATTGTCACATATCCCCCCGATTTTCTGATAATTAGTCATTAGCATCAAGATTGAACTCTACTCCAACTTGGACTTGGACAAATCTTTGTCCGGAATGATCTGAAATGGTGAGAAAGGTAAATGACTATTCCCTGTGAGATGTATGGGTTGTTATTGCGATGCACAATGTTTCAGAGTGATGTAATTCAACGGAGGTTTTATGGCATGTTGCCAGTGCACAATTGCAATGATTAATTTGCATTGCTGAATGATTCATAGAGTGGCCCAGCTGAAAGCGAAGTATGTAGCCAATGGAATTTCGAGAGGGTCTCTTACTTTGACGTGGAAGCCAACTGTGGTTCATGAATGGAGGTCTGGTTGGCTGGGAGAATCTAAGGTGAAGGAATAAGGAAAGATGTATATTTATATAGGGATTGAAGAATGTAATGAACTTGGGGAGCTGAGGGAGGAAAAAGGTGAAGTGGAAATTCCAGACACCCATCTGCATCCTGTTGACATCCTATCTACTTCCCGCATAAGGCCGTTTCAGCACGTGGTATTTGGCAAAGTCCTTAACAAACGCGAGCGTGGATGTAACCAGCGGAATTAGCGGTGTATGGTTATCCTGAGCCACCCCCAGGATGCACTTCTGCACAGCTGTGTGTCTGGATGTTTGCTGATCAATTCTGAAATCTATACCGCAAGAAAACTGACACTGTACTTTACAAACCGATTGCCTTTAAATGTTATTTTTTTTTGCTATGTAAGAAACGTGGCGATGTGTAACATCAACAGCAGTGCTGTGTTGACTAATATACTGGGTATTATGAGATCTCCCTCCTTTATCTGATTCATATTAAGACATTATGGAGAAGAGATACAATTGTACTGAAGATAATGATCTTGTGAAATACTTCACTTTGAATGTATTATTCACACATGTATTTTTATCAAATGGGAAAGACTAAAAGAGTCTGTGAGCATGGGGGTCCTGTGGTTTGCAGAGAGGTTGTGGCCTTTAGCACAAAGTTACTGTGTGTAATATGACCCACTCAGTTTTGTACCCTTTGTATATATATATTTCAAAATTTAAATGTCCACTTAGGAGATTTGCACACCAAACAATTTACTATGCATAGATGTAAAGACATGTTGATGTTAAAGTTAGAAACACTTAATGTCATGTCAATTAAAAATGTTTTGAACACACTGTATGTGAATGGCTGATAAGCCCTGATCTTCACTATATTATATACCTGTGGTCAGAGTAAATCCCAAAACGGATGCCAGTCAGTTTTAAATCTTAGGAATGGCTCCGCTGTTGTATGTTGAACAGTAAAAATTAAACTCTTCAAATGTAATTTGGTGATAATTCTCTGCTCTGCTGATCAAAATTTACTCCTCACATTTTCAGCACAATGAATGAAGTTAGTCTTATTTTTATAGAGGAACTTGAAGCGATTGGCATCTGTAGGTTCTGAAAACACTATGGTCCCCAGGATATTTTGACATTTCTGTGCACTACCAAGGTCTTATCAGTCATCATACTGTTTTCTGACCATATTTCACTTACAGTCTAAGACTGAGGAATAATTCTAGGCTTGGGATTGTGAGGTATTAACTGCCTGTGTACTAAACAGTTTGTGTGCGTCATAATTATCAAGATAAATTAATACTTAAATGTATTTTAAATGGAATCATTTGAGTTTCAAATCTCCTTTGGTTTAATGTAGCACATTTATTATTTTTTTAATGTTAAACGTTAACATGCATATTAAACCTTTTAAGCAGTTATTTTTCCTTGTCTGTTTCTATTTCCATCCATCCATCTTCCAGCTGCTTATGCTGACCCCTACTGGTGAGTCCCAGAACTTGTGGTCCTGCGTGGCATGGCAGAGCTTTTAAATATCAGAGATGAGTGCAGCAAGCTTTAAGAGCAGGACTGCTTCATGTCCATTTTGGTGCAATATATTTTAAAAATTTCAATTTATATTATCTTTGGTGCATGGAACAAATTATCACTGTCTTTTTACGTACCATTTGGGGGCAGTCCAAGTACCACTGGTGGTACACGTAACTGTTTAAAAACCACTGCTTTAAGGCATAAGCTCCTGGCTAATGATGGATGGATTTATGGATAGGTGAATTTTTCTCTATGTTTCAGATAATTTTTTTCTGCTGAAGTCCAACGGAAAGGAATTTTGTGGCAGTTTGACCACAAGAGGGCGATAGAGACTAAACTCTACTAAAGGCCATCCTTTGTATTCCGGAATGACGAAGCTCGTAATGCAAGAAAAACATTAAGCATGATCTTTCTGTGGAAAAAAGGTGATTCAGCACTATATTCATCAGTGTAAATATCTAAGTTGAGGGAAAACAGGCTAAATGCAGATATGACTGTAATAACAAAGAACTTAATCCTTATGGTTATAAACTTGATGGCTACAGGCAGTGTAATATAAGATGAACTTTATTGATCCCAGGAGAAAATTATAGGTAGCTGTCATTTGGACCCGCACCTCCACTGCACCCTGAACGCTGCACCTTCGATCCCGCACCTCCACTGCACCCTGAACTGTGCCTTCGATCCCGCACCTCTGCTGCACCCCGAACACTGTGCCTTTGATCCCATACCTCCGCTGCATCCTGAACACTGTG